TTCCCCTCAGGGGACCCTCAGCCAGCGCGTCCCGCCCCGGCACTGCCGCCCCCAGCGAGGGCTGAGGGAGCGCCTGGGACAGGTGGAAGCGCCCCCGGATCGTGGCCGGGAGTGCCCTGCCCGCCCACAGCTGGAATTTGTGTTCGCCCCCCTCGCTGCTCTTCATTCACCCCCTCACGGCTCTGTGGTCTGAGGTTACAGTGCTGGGCACTTCACTTCTTCCCTGCACTTCCCACCTTTCATCAGACTCGGAAAACTGAGCCTCGGGAACGAAACAAAACCCCAACCCCACCGCTTTGCTGTAAGGCTGTTAGGTCTGGATTTTCTGCCTGCCCCTGTGCACTCTCTCTGTTTCCCCAGAGCTGAGTTTCCCGTCCGGACCGACTGCTCTGCACACACTAGAGCTCGAGAGAAGCTTTAAAGGCAAGTCCTGACTCTGCTCCGTTTATTCAATAAATTTATTATTTATAGCCCCACCTGCTGCTCCCCCTGCTCTGCTTCCTCTGGGCGGATTGTGCAGCTCACAGAGCACTTACTGTAGCTGTACAATGTGGATAAGGAGGCATTTATCTCCAGAAACATACTTGCTAATGTGTTTTTTTCTTTTTTAGTAGGCTGCTTGGAGACACAGAGACCATTCTCACGTCTTCTGTGTTTGAAGTTTTTTAAAATACAAGTTGAAACCGGAGTTCTTGGTTAAGCAGTGGAGATTCACCACTCGTGGAAATAGGTGTTGGCTTTTCACAGTGGTCAAGATAATACGTCTTTCCAAAGTGGGGTGAAATTTCAAACTCTGGGAAGATAACTTAGGGAAAGTGTCCTTTAGCTGTTCTAATCTGGGTTTCATGGTCTGATTTGTTGCATGTTGTATGGTATTAAACACAGAAATGGATAATTGGTTTAAAAAGCTTATTTTCTTGTTGGTGTCACAGATACTGGGGCATGGAGGATATGAATTTTTCCTGAGAGACTGAGATTCCATTGGCCTACCTGACTGCTGGATTTAGCCTGGCAGATTAACAAGGCAATCAAAGTTTGATTGGTGGGGGGTTTTTCTTTCCTTTTTTTTTTTTCTTTAATATCATTCTTTTTCCTTTTTTTTTTTTTTTTTTTATTTTAACTAGTTAGTGAAACATTAAATGTTTGGAAGGACCACAAATCTGAGCATTTCAGTTGTTGCAATTAACAGCAAATGGGTGGGGAGCAATGACAGACAAATTCTTTACTACACTTAGAATTCTTCTTCAAAGGAAAGAGTTAGGTTTGAATTATTGGTAAGTGGATGGGACTCAGTGTAGCATGAAATCCGTGTTCATGGTTACAATAATTGGATGTGAGCTATTACATATACAGTAGTATCCCTTCGGATTTTATGGTTTTATTGATGTGAGAACGCTGTTGGAATTTAGTCTGCTCTAGTTAAACTCTTGTAGTTTGAAATAAACTGCACCCATCTTCAGCTGTCTTTAAGTTATAAACCCATCTTTAAATTGATTGGGAAGAAACATGAGCTAAGCTGAGATACAGGGTGTGTGGAATTTGGGTTCATTTAGCTATGCAGGCTTTAAAGTTAAATTAAATTTCATTTAGCCAAAACACCAGTGTTTGTTTTGTTCAGTGGCACTCTGTATCCATTAGCACAGAGGAACCTGCTAGAATGATGAAATTTGAGTACAGGGTGTGTAGAAGAGCAGGCAGAAAGGATGTGGCTAATTAATGCTTGATTTATTTATGTTGATGAGTTGCTTTACTGTTGTTTGCCTCACTGGCAAATTGTGTTACCTATTAGCGAGAGAAAAAGGATTCATTAAACAAAAAGCAGACAGGAAAAAAAGGAACTGCTGTCTCTATTTAAATTATGAATCTGTTTCTGAGGAGTTTGGGGTTGCCTTTGCTGGACTTCCCTGTCAGTCCTGAGCACCCATCTCATGGATACTTAAGGATGTCTTACAAGCTAAGGGTGCATATTTCCCCATGGGGTTTGTTGAATTGTTTGACTGTTACAAGCTGTTCTTAAAAAAATAAGCTTATACTCTAATAGCTATTAAATAAATTCATGTCTATCCCCTGTTACTTTCAACTTTAGACTTTTTTTTCCACCCAGTATTACAGTGTTCCTGAAAAACAGGGCCTTTTATCTCTGATATTCTCACACAATACATGTGATATTTAACTCTATTATCACAACTGCTAACTTACCTCTTTAAAATATTCCTGAAAGCAAATGTTTAAAGTTAATAAAAGAATACAATTTCTGTGAGTTAACTACTTTCCCCCCATCAACTTGCTAAGCTGGCCTTTTTTTTTTTTTTTTTTACTATTTTTTACCTCTTTTTTTTCTTTGCCTTTCTTTTTTTTTTTTATAATTTTACCTTTTTTTTTTTTTAATATTTTTTTACTATTAAATATCCTTTGGGCTCCCTCAAACCCAGTGTTCCCTCCTTCTGTCCAGCTACACTAGTCCTGCTAGCACACATTTACCAGAGAGGAACTTTCTTCTTTTCAAAGTTAATAAAATCTTGTTTTATCTTAGAAGGTAATAAAAGAACAATTGTTTTGGCGTGATGTTAGGATTGAGTGGTTTGGTTTTTTCTGACACAATAAGAAACATATTTGGTGCACACATTGTGTCAGCACTGAAATGTCATTGTTTTAGGTTCTGTGGCACCAGTTTGGACTGTTCATCTGTGCTGGATGAACTTGCCTTTTGGAAGAATATTTTACAACACAGGGGAAAAAATGTATTTGAAATACCACTATCTTGAAGTCTTGAGAGTAGGGACTAACTCTACTCTGGGAGTTATTGTATTCCTTTGTATCAATTTGCACATGACAGAAGGAATTTATCTTCCCAAGTCCCTTGAGATGCTTTGACTTCATAGCCATTGGTACAATTTTCTCCTTCTTTGTGCTTTCTATGGGTCTCGTTCATTTTTATTGTTTTATTTAATATTAAACTGCTTGCATTGAACTTTAGGGAATTGCCCAAATGAAAGACAAGAAAATCTTTTCCCTGGTATCATAAAAGTAATAAAAAGGTGGTGGGTTTTTTTTCCAGTTAAATTTAATTTAGAGTTGTTCTAGGATTTTATTGGTACTTCATATAAACAAGTTCTGTGCTTCATTTTTCTCACCTATACGTGAATATTTTTGGATGTTTAATGAGTTTTTTACTGTTTTAATTTCAATCAAATTCCCATTTCAACAGCTTTCTGACTGTAGATTATTGAAATTCTCTTTTTCAGAAGTTATACTGGGTATCATGAATATCAATGATTTTGTGATACTCCCAGGCTCAAAAACTGGAACCTCAGTGAGATTAAAAACAAAGTAAGTGCATTCTGTCTGATTGGGATTGAGATGTGTTGTGTTAACTTTTAATAACTTTTAATGCAACATTAATAGAAGAGCTTATTTGTGCCACAGCAATAAGATCATGATGTGTTTCTTTTCTAGCGTTTTCCCTATGCTTTTATCCTTGACCTTTTCATAGGCTTTAATCTATTTTCTGCTTGAGTTAAAGGTTTTATAACTCTGTATATCTAGTGTGTAATACAAACAATACTAAAGAAGTCACTGGGATGGTTGATTTTAATATAATTAAACAACAAACCTTTCTGAGCACACAGTTGTATGACTTTTGTGTTGGCCACTCTAAAGCTCATTTTGGAGTATCCCTGTCACTGTCATGCCCCTTTTCCAGAACTGTTTCCAGTCTTGATAAGAGATAGAAGAGTGACTTTTTTTTTTTTTTCTGCTTTAAAATTCTTCATGTACCTCACTCACTGTCCTGTAGTTTCTGATGAATATTTTGCTGCTTTAACTCCTCCAGAACTGTCAGAGAATTGCAGTTGGAGAAGGAGCAGTTAGAGACAGAAAACAGAGAGATGGAGAAGAAATTGCAGCAACTCCAGTCAAACATGAGCAGAGAAAAAGAAGAGAGAAAGTAGGTGGAATTTCTGTATGGAAAAATGGAATCCAGTGAGATGCTCCCTCCACACCTCCCCCTGCCCCAGATGGGTTCTCCTGCAAACTTTGGAATTCACAAAAGTGTTCAGTCTCTCCAATTTCTCCTCCCAATGATAAACTTGCTTCCCTATGGCTTTGTTACTTTTAAAGTCACATGTGACATTTGATCCCTTTTCCCCCCCTTTTTTCCCCTCTCCCTTTTCTGCTCTCTGACTGGATTTGTCCCCTTAATTTTAAAGCAGGAGACAGAGAGCAGTTTCTCTTGCACTGTTTTAGTCTTATTTCTGCAGTTTCTCAGGAGGATTCTGTTCTCAACATTGCTTTGATCCCGTTTTTCATGTGCCTGTGTAGCTTCAGAGCTGCATCTCCTGTATGATGGGAAACAAGGCTTGGAAAGAAGCACAATGGAATGAAGCAAATACTGGGGTGGAAGTTTAAATCTCCCTGACTCACTCTGAATGTTGGCAAATCCCTGCAACATCTGCTTCTATTTCTTTGTGTTCCTGCCTGATGTGCTGTGTCACTGGAGATGCAAAAGCCTTGGATACCTTGGAGCCTTGGTGCTGCTCAGTTTGCAGCTCTGGCAGTGTTTCCCTGGGCTGGTGAGGCAGATTTCCAGATAATGTGTGGCACTTGGCCCCCCATATTGTACTCATGTCCTTGGACCTGCAGATCCTGGTGGTGGTGTCATGGTGAGCTCAAATGACAGGAGCAGTGGGAATCACAGAATGGTTTGGGTTGGAAAGGACCTGAAAGATCATCTAGTTCCAAACCCCTGCCATGGTCAGGGACACCTTCCACTAGACCAGGTTGCTCCAAGCCCCATCCAGCCTGGCCTTCATCCCTCTTCCCTCCTCTGTTTTCCTTGCTCCTTGTTTTGTTTGGTTTTGTTTGTTTTGCCCTATGTTTGTTTTTCTGTAAAACAGAGCAGGTTTTACATTTGAATCCTTGCTCACTATTCCACAGCACTGTGTTCTGCAGTGTCCTAAAGGTGAAAATCACAGCTTAATCTCCCTTAGTCTTAAATTCTTCCCCTCCATCTTCCATGTTCATCATAGCAATCAAATCTAAATTGATTTATCACTGAGATTGTAGGTGTTTGTTCCTGACTTATTAAAAGGTGCTGCATTTTAGCAGTGCTGGATGAAAGCCCTGGAGTAAGTTGGGACAATGAAGACTTATCTAAGGTGTACTTCTGTTTTTATTCTTCTAAAACCAACCTGAGATTTCCTTACATTTAAAATCTTAGACCAATTCAAAATCAGTTCTTTCTTATACACTTTATATATTTACTGCTATTAAAGTAGATGAGAAGCAGGGTGCAATGTGGAAGAGCTGTTTGTGTTTTGGGGAATTGATTATCCTCTAGAGCAGTATTTTATTTTTGTGATGCTCTGTTCATATTTAAACACCTGAAGGAAAACCTATATGTTTCTCTTGCTTACAGAAGACATAATTTTTGAGTTTTTTCTTGCTCTTGGTTCATAGGAAATTAAGTCCTTATCACTGGAAATCTGGACAGGCAGGACCAATGACCATCCAAGCCCGAGTTTTGTCACAAAGTAAAGAAAACTGGAAAAAGGTATTAAAGTACATTTGCAAGTAAAGCTGTTTAAAACAAAGCAAGGTTTAGAATTAGATTTATGCTGCAGAACATGGGAATTTTAAATACTATAAAAATAATAAGAGGTTAAGCACCTTCTGAGTAAAATCCCTCATTGTTTATTTTCCATGCCAAGCTTATGGTTCCCTTTGAGCTGGAGGAACATCAAGTTCTCTGGGGTGATCTGTTGTGTTTTTAATTGTGATAGGCAGCAAATTATCATTGCTTCTACAGGTTTAATATTGTAAGAATTGAAAAATGTGATTTCTTTTCAATATTCACTCAATGGGATATTTTCCCTTATTCCCTTTTGGAATAGGCAAGGACAATTTTGCTGACACTCTTAAAAAATATTCAGGGTAAGGCAGACATTTGGGAATGGTGAAAGCTGGTCAAATTTGTAAGTAGCTGAAGACTGAACCTTGTAGGGAGTGTTATCACTTCCAACTGTAATAAGCTGGTCTTAATATTTCATTCTTCGGTGAACTAAGTGTATTTTAATAGCTTAGGCTGTGTACATCATGGAAGCAGGTATTAGGTGTGTCTGTCAGCAAATAATGTTCACAAGTGCTGGTAAAATCCCAGTTGTGATAACAGAGCTTATGTTCTTCGCTTGTTCTGTGAAAAATCTGTAGGGGATCCCGAAATCCAAACTAATTCAGCTTAGAGATGCTTCCTCTTTGCCTTAGCAGGCACAGATGTGTCTGCAGAGGCACAAATTGGCCTGAGTGGGACTTGAAAAGAAAGTTTTTTCTCCTGCTTTTTTTCTGGCAGCCGTGCTGTGTGTGCTGGGTTGAAATGAGAGCTGTTAATTAACACAGACCACTTGGAACTGGCTGAAACAAAGCTTGGATAAGTCTGGAGAGAAAACCAGACAATGACAACTTCAGACTGAGCCGTCACAGTTGCTGTTTGAAGCCTTTTGAAGCAGCAGCAGTTTGGCAAGAAGGTCCTCTCAGCCAACACACTCAATTCCAATAAAATGAAAAGGTTTTCTTTGACCCACCTCCTTCTCTTTCCTCTTCTCTGGGATGAGTAACTCAAAGCTGTTGCTGCTTCAAAAGACTTCAGATTTCAGCTCTGATGGCTGAGTTGGGGCAGAATGTTCTAAAGGGTAAAATTAAAGCAAGGGGCAAGTGAGGGCCAGTGAGGATTCAGTGTGGACTCTGCAGGGAAAAAGTGAGGAGCAGTGATGAAAATCATTAATTACTGGGATGCCAAATCATGGAAGGGTCATCAGGAGAAGCAGAGTGAAAACAGGCTGAGACCTCCCCCCTCAAACAGGGGTAGGTGTGAATGCAGGTTGTATGTGCAGGGGACATCACTGGTTGACATCTGAGTTTAGGTCACTGTGGTTATGCAAGTTCTGCAGTTATGGAATGTTCTGGAGAACATTCCTGGCTGGGCAAACAAGGACAACATCATTTCATGGCTGGGGAGGGAAAGTGGTCCCAGCCTTCAGGGCTGTCATGAGCAATACGTGGAGTTTTCTCTTCATATACATACCTGGCTGCTTTCCTAGAACCAAGCAACATTTTCATTCTATTCTATCAAAAGTTACTCTTTTATTTATTTTCATTACAATTAATTTAAGGATTTCATTCTTAAATATATGTGTATATATTCTTCCATATAGGTTTCTTCAGGAAAAGTGAAGTTGCAAATACTCAAAGACCAGATTCAAGGTAAAGACATCTTTCTTAACAAAATAAAATTTCACGATTTTCTGGTGAATTATCTATTCTTGGAGGTTGCTGCAATTAAGCCATAAAGAAATCAGAGACTGGAATACTGGATTAGTTTGTTTTTTAATTGTTTGTTTTTTTCCAGAGCCAGTGAAAGAACAATTTAAGGCCAAAATGGAAAATGCTGTAGCACATAAGAACTCTGAAGTGGAGAGGGTTGCATGTGGATTATCTGAAATTAAGAGTGTGCTGCTGGTAAGTGAATGGTTTAAAAGTTACTCTCCAGCAACACAATATAATATGCATATAAGTTTTTTGTGGCAGTATGGAGACAGACATTTATTAGACATTGTTATGTGTTGTAAAATGAATTGCCTTGGGTTTGTCCAGGCTGAGGTGCCAGAGTGACCATGCAGCAACTTCAAAAGAGGAGAAAACTACTTAAACATTTGAGATTAATTTGATCCTACATTAGTTAAATATCTTCTTTTTCTGTAATAGAAACCGTAGTAAGAGTTTTTCTCATCTGTTTCCTAAAATACATTGGCGATACCCACATAGGCTTTGTCTCTGTGATAACTGTTTATTGCCCATAAGGGAGGTTTTATGCACTGATCTCCCTGAATGCAGGGAAACAAATGACTTGATTTTGTTATCACAACTGTGACCAGTTCTTTAACTGGCAACAGCTAAAGAATTCCTTTAAGCTGTATTTTTATTAATTTGCACAGCATGTGAACGTGACTGAAGAAGATTCTTACTTACCTAAAGAACACCACTCTGTGAATAAAATAAGACATGTGATTACAGGCAAATAGGGCAGAATTGAGTGGCCCATGAATATTTTGTAGCTTTAAATACTTTGATAAGGACCAGGGCACGTGCTGAATTGTGGCTGCTTTCCAAGCTGGCACTTGCTATGTTAGAGTGGAAATTATTGTTATCAACTATGAGGTGATTTATATTTAATAAATTTAGAAAGTATAAATAAGAAACCTGGCCTCCCAAGTGTGGTGTAGCTTCGTACTATTTGATTTTTGAAGTAACTTTTGTTAATAGAGTAATTCCACTCTTCAATAGGAAAATAAAAAGTATCACCTCTCTTAGATCCCCCCTCCCTGGCCTGTGGGGTCTTGCTGTGATTTATTTCCATTGCTTTTATGGCAAATTAAACCCGTTGGAGCTGCTAACACTCAAACCAGATGGAACAGATACTTTGTGTGTGTCTTTTAATGGCTTTCCTTGCAAAAAAACGTTCCTGTGGATTTGAAATCCCTGCCATCAGAGCCAGTGGGATTTTGCTGCTTTAATTCTTTTTTTTTTTCCATACCCTCCCCCTTATTTCATTACTGCTCACCCGATAATGAGTAAATACCCCAAGTATTCACTGAGTAATCCCCAAGTGCGTGGTTGGTTTTTCCCCGGGGTTTTCCCCGGAGCGGGGCTGCAGTTCCAGGGATGGGCGCCAGGCGGAGCTGCGGCCCCGCGGGACGCCCCGAGCGCGGCTGCAGCGCCGCGATCCCGGAGCGCTCCCACCGCCCGGGGAGAGGGGAGAAATCGGGCTGGAAATCCTGGCTCTCATGACGAATGGAGCGATGATTTGCTCACCCCGCGTTAGGTGAAGGCCTGCCTTCTTTCGGGTGCTTCTTGCCGATCCCAGGAACCCCAGGAACAGGGATTCATTCCCCCAGTAAACTGAGCCGTGCCCACCCCGCCTTGCAGCGCGAGGATCGGAGGGGAGTGCGAAAGGAAACAGGGAACAGCTTTGTAGGGTGGTTCGTGTGTCTGCAGGCTCAGGGCGAGTCACAGGGACCGTTTAATGTGCAACCAGCAGCTGCAGAGTCGATCATGGCATGGAGATGTGGTGTGAGCAGGTTCTGCTTCTGTAGAGGCTGCTCTGACTCCTTCTCATTACCCTCTCTCCCTCTGCTGCTTTTGTGGTAAGAACATGTGCTCTGCTTTGGGATTGTACAGACAAAAAGTCTTTCCTTCTGCTCTCTGTGTGGATGAACATAAAATATTTCTTGGTTTTGCTTGATAATCGTTCAAGAGTTGGTCGTCAAAACTTTCCACAGTGGTTTTATTTGTTCTAATGAAGGTTGCAAATCAGCAAAATCCCAGTGTAATGCTTGTTATTCTCCTTTTGTAACTATTTTCAGTCAATCTCATCTAGTTTTTTAAAATTTGGACTTCCCTGGACTGCTTTTTTAATGTATGAGCTGGTGTTCCAGTTACTCCATAGGAACATTTTCCTTTTATTGACCTCTACAGATGTGCTTCTGTTTGCTGTGAAGCTTCAATGAGTAGAACTTCATTAATAAAGTACATAGCTCATAAATTAGTTTAAATGAGATGTGGTGCATAAAATGCTTCATTTAATCTGTCCTGTCCATGGAGTGTGAGCTCTCCATGGCCATATATCCTGTGCATAGAATGTGGGCTGTCCATGGCCACTGCTCTCTGCTATTAGAAACATTTAAAAGTGGGGGTTTTTCTTCTTTAGCTCTTGACAGAATGTTCCAATTTAGTTGTGAGCAAGAGCACATAAAACCTGAGTGATCTTGAATTCCAGGGTAGTTTGGCTGAGCCCAGGAAACTGAGTGTTGCATTTGCACAGGGGACACTAAAAACATTGCTGGGGAGAGAATTGTCATCACCAGTGCTTTGTTAATTATGTCATGGAACTGATTTAGGAACCACCCTCAGAATCAACCTGTACAGGCCCTGAAAATGAGGATGAAGGATTATTGTTAAATGGCTCATATAACGAGGAAGATTCTGCAAAGTCTTTCCAGGAAGCTTTGCTTCAATGGAGAAAGGGGAATAGTGATCACAGGGAACAAGTGCCAGCCAGTGAGGTGCCATCAGGTAGGATTTGTTCTGTTTTAATTGCATTTTAAATACATTAAGAGCCAATTGGGTGAGTTGGCAGACTTTTGATTGGTGAAGGGAGATCTTCTGTTAGAATAATAATTGTTTTTTTCTCAGTTTTTCTCTCTATGTTCCTTTATCAATAACAACAACCTCTGAAGGTTTTTTTTTTTATCTTAGTAACATGCAGGTTAATGTTTATCCGAATTTTTGCACTCAGCTGTGGCATTGAATAGATTTTTCAGCTCATGTCCCTTTCTCTGGCATTGTTTCTCACATGACACTTTAATATGAACTGCAGTGCTCAAGCATAAAGTCCCAGCTTTTGACTGAGGCAGGGAATGTGCAAAGCTCAGGATTTTGTGTGTTCTATCAAAATACATTTCTTGCTTGCCTTCCACAGGCTCTTAATATTTCTTTGTCCCAGTGAACAGCTGCAATCAGCTGAAGTATGCATGGAAAAATGGGGATAAAAATCCTCTTGTCTGATTGGATTTGTGCAAGCTGATCTTGTTCCTCTAGTCTGTGGATGGTGTTTGTTCTCTCTGTATTTTATGTACAAATAATATTATACTGACTTTTTTTTCTTTTCTTTCCTGTGATATGGTGGGATTTTTATCTGCTGGCCATTTAAATTTTGGAATTATACAAAGACTCAGTGAGGGATAGACTACCAATATGTTGTTCATTCAAGAATAATGTAGATAAATAACAAGTTTATAAGCCTGAACATCTGTATATTTTTTTTTTCATAATTCTAATAGAATCTGTGGGAATTTGTGAGGTCCAGACCAGTGTTACTGTTCTGGAGGAACCTGTCCAAGTGGAATTCAAGAAGGATGGCCTGAGCTACATGGAGAAACTCTTACTTAAGAAATACAGAAGGTATTGAAAGGAAAAGCTCAGAAATACTTCATAGCATTAACAAAAATCCCCTTGAAACTTCTAACATATTAGATACATTATCAAGAGTTAAGGGGAGTGTATACAGAGTGCTTTATTTGAATAAAATAACCATCATAGCCTGACTTGATGGTTTAATAGTTCAGAATTACTGCAGGGGGAGTATTTGGAGGGATTCTCTTTGCTCTCAGTTTACTGTAGAGTTTGAAGACTGATAATGATATTTGGTTGCTTGATTTTTCTGGGGCATTTGCTGCAGGAGTTTTATAGAGAGAGGGAAGCACAAGCATCAGGATGCCTTTAGAGATGTTGCAGGGTTGTTTTGTTACTCACTGAGGTGCAAGGTCATCTCAGTGAAATTAGGAAGAGTTCATACAGCTGGAGTAAATAGTGGGGTGGGGTTTTTCTTTTTTTTTTTTTTTTGTTTTAAGGACTGTGATATTATATATATATATATAATGTAATTATGACTTTTTAAGATTGATTTCTTCTCCCTTTTTCAGAACTCCTGTTGATGAGATTCCTGACAATTGCATGAGAGATTTAAAGCCTGTGCAAACCCTGAGTGTCCATCAGGCTGTGAGTGGAGGAGGAGGAGAAGGAGATGATGATGATGATGTGGATGACTTTTCAGGTGTAATAAATTTCTGTTTATCGAACCTAAATAATATCTTTTTTTTTTTTGCAATTTATTTTGCAAGATAAATTTATTTTGCAAAATTTTTTACAATTTACTGCTGAACAGCTATACACTTGGGAGGATTCTGCTTAAAGTAACAATAATGAAAGGAGGAATTTGTGGTACTTTAAGATAAATAAAAGTTTGCATTTTTATAAGTGTAAGTCAAACAGGAAAAAAAAATGCATGAAATTAATTATATTTCCTAGTTGAAGAGATGAAGAGATTTTGGGCATCTCTTTTTAAAGGGGAAGAATCCAACACCACTTCTGAAAATGCAGAGTCAGAGTCCTCTTTGAAAATTGAGTTCCTCGATGATGTAAGTGTGTAATAAAAGAATTCCTGAATCTTCAGTCATCTGATTTTTTTAAATCTTGATAAGTTAAATATTTAAAGGATTTTAATAAATAATTTCCAGTATGAAAAAAATATGGGTTTATCTTTTCCATACAAATGTGGAAAATTTATCTTTCCAACAGTTCCCTGTATTTTTTCCTGTTCTGTCCAGGGACCTGCACTATATAGAAATTATACAAAGATGAAGTCTTCAAGCTTTTAATCACTTGAGTTACTTGACTTTTTCTTTAAATTTTAATCCATTGCTGAATATGGATGGTTTTTGTTTTTTATTTAGTTTCACAGCACAGACTTGGAAGAATCATCCAACTATTTGGTGGTGGAAACTGGGGCTGAGGGAATGAACCAGCAAGGAAAAACTGAAGCCCTGGAGCAGTGTGGAAGGTATCAGGAATGCAGAGATTCTGTGGAAGAGAAAAGGAAATCATCCCATCTTCTGGTTTAGTTACATCCCTAAGAAAAGGGAGCTTTTCTTTGCAGTCAGTCACACTTCTATGAGTCATTGATACATTGTTTTAAAGCCACTGCAGAATATTAATTGCCTGTAATTGGAGAGGCATCACTTTGAAATGTCTTCATTTGGTTTCTTTGATCACTCCAATGTCAAACCATGTAAGACACAGTTCTTTCCATGTGCTTGCCATGAATTCCAGGTAGAATTTCTCTTTTCTAAGCTCCAACCTCAGCAGAAACAGGAACTCACATACAAAATCTGTCATTACTCAGTGTTGTGCTCTTTTAAGATGTTCTCACTTGACTAACTTTGTAATTCCAGACAAAAATAAGTCCTCATAATTAAAGACACATGTGCAATTCTTCTGATCTCCCTATACTGATTAGCTGTGACCTGTTTTGCTATATTTTATTCTTTTGGTCTTTTCTCCTTCCCTTTCAAAGCTGTTCAGCAGTTGCAGACCAGACCTTTGGCCAAGAGAAAGTGTATAAGAAAGTCTTCTTGTCATTTAACTTCCACAGCTGACACTCAATGTTTTTTACCTTTTCCCTCTTGACAGAAATCCTGTTTCTTCTCAAGAAATGTCTCAAGGTAAATTTGGAAAGTTATTATTTGTACAATAGACCTAAATGTGTACAGTTTATCGTTCTCCTGTAGGATGTGGGAGGCAACTATGATGGTTGTCTGAAAAATAATTAAAGGCAAATTATGTGCCCTTCTCTGAGCTATCAGGTCCCTTGATTACAATTTGATGGGTTCTGAGAGCAATTTTGAAATGATGGGTATCACTGTGACAGAAATCTTGCTTCTCTGAGCTTGTATTTGAGGGAGAAACTAACCTAACAGGAGCTGGATACTGAAAATAAACCCATTATAAAGCAGGTCATCTTCAAGTCAGTTTATCTGTATTAAATCTAATTTATAGCATATGTGCTTTTGATGTATAAAAAACTTTTATGTAGCTAGATTGAGAAACTGTATAAATGATTACCTGTTCTGCATGAAAGATCATCATTGGTGTTTAAGTAATCCAACTGCATGTCAGGGAAATCACTGTGAAAATCTGACAGCTTTATTTTGTGGCACTCTTAAGGAGTCCCACAGATCTTACTCTGTGTCCTAAGACTATGTAAAAAATCAGTCACTTTTTTAATATTAAGAAATAACTTAGAATGTAAAGGTTATTCATTTCTTGTTCTTGCAAGTCCCAAACATTTGCTCCAGCACTTCAAGACCTGGCACTTGTTCTCTTTGTGTTGAGTTCAAGAAACTGCTCGTTTAACTCTTCAAATGGGGAAAAAAAAAACAAACAAGAGCTGACTAATGAGATGTGATTTCTGTGCTTTTGTGGGCACAGGGTAAAAAATAAAATACCTGTGTGTTGTATAAACAGAGAAATACAGCTTGCAGAATCATTCACAACCTGATAGGATGGATTCCAAACCATTATACTGCTCTTAAAGATGTTTTATGAAATTGCTGCTATTGCAGTTCTGTAATGGAGCTTTTACATTTGAAGTTCATCAAGAAAACACGGTGGACTTGCAGGTTATAATTCATATTTCTGTTAAAAAATATACCAATTTTTATGATTGTAGAAAAAATGGTTGTCTACAGTCCTCTGGAAGGAAATGCAGTGCAAAAGGAGAGTATTAAAGCAGAGACTGGGAGGTCACTGGGCTTCTGGGAAGCACTGGAGGAGATCTCCAACCCTACTGAACTAAAGAGCAACAAACACCTTGAGACAGAACTGCAGGAAACCAGGGGAGAGTCACAGGAACTGGGCAGTGTCTGTAACAGTCACAGCTTGGGCTTGCCTGTAATTAAGAAATCTTCACCAGTAAGTTATGATGTCTAATTGTTAAATAGATAAATGATGTTGCTTAATCTGCTTTAGTAGGGGGCACCAGACCATGTTCCTGAATCAGCTGAGAGGTGGGGATGGTTGTGTGGTTGCCTTGCAATACTTGACCACTTCACCTTGTTCTCCTCTAGAAACTCCACCCCATAAGAGTAAAGTTTAGTTAAAGGGTTGTTTCTGCCTGCCACATATGTAGGGGATGAAGGTCTCTCTGCTTCCTACTTTATATAGCCAAATTTCTGTTAGTGCTAAAAAAAGCAAAAGCAAGAACAGTGTGCTCTCAGACAGAAAAAAAAGATGGTGCTGGGGAGAAGCAGCTCTTACCATGTTAAAACTGAGGTTACTTCACCTCTCTGCTCAATGACCAAAAATTGTAGGTGCTCTTATCTGACTTAAGTTCCTCACATGTTCTTTGACTGAAAGTAAAATTAAAAATGAAAAATCCTAGAAAAGGTTGGGACATAGATTTGAAGTCATTGTTAGACAGTGATTGCTCTCACTGAGGTACACAAAAGTGAAACCAAAGAAAAACTGCTTTTCATGTCCATAGTGAAAGAACAGACTCAAACTCTCACAACATGAGAAGTTTTTTAGGATTTTAAGGCGTATCTTGTACAAAAACATCATCCATATGAATTACAGCAGGCTGCCAAAATCATTCCCAGTCCTATAAAATGAGCATTTTATTAATCTAAACTTGCAAGGACAATTTGTGAAGTTTTCCTCTTTCCTTTCCTGTCTCTGATGTCTCTGTGTTTTATTCAAGCTGCAGGATGTAGCCAGAAGACACAAACCTGTTGCCACGTGGTATCGGGGACTCGAAGGTTTCTTTGCTGCAGGTGCAAACCCCAGCCAAGGAATTCTGGCAGCACCTCCTTCCCTGTGTGCTGCCTCCAGCCCTAGGGCCAGTAGCCTTCCTCTTCCAGGTACTGGCATGTGAATAAAATCCTCAAAAATACACATAGTTATCCCTGTTGCTGTAAGACATCCTTCTCTCCATGTAACTTCCATCCAGTTTCCTTCTGGAAGTCATTAAGGGTTAAGTCATGCCAGCACACAGAATTATTTCTATTCCCTGACAATTTGGCTCGAGGAGGTTCCTATTGCTTTTAATGGTGTATGAGAAACAACATGTGAAATGGTTGGTGAACCTTATTAATTTGATCAAGTGTATCACTTGAAATTAAGCTTTCAGTGTGTTCTGTATGGGTAGAAAATTCATTGCATGGCTTCTTTACATCATGCACATTAAATGCAGCAAATAAAGGACCAGTTAAGTGCATATTAACACAAAACCTGCCAATAATTTCCTCTGATAATTTTTTAATTTCAGGAGGTGGACAGTGGGTTTCCGAAAGGAGCTTAAGTGAATATGCTGAGGACTCTGTAGTTCAAGGTGTCTTGGAAAGGCAGTTGAACAGACCCTCCAATGGGTTCAGGGCTCAGAATAGAATTTCTCCTCACATGGGGGTGTGGAGGTCAGGTAAGGACCTACTTAGGGTCATTTTTCTTATGTAAAATGTAGACACACTGTGATGACTCTGAATTTAGGTCATTTTTATATCTTCATCTTATGTATTTTGGTACAATGGCTTGTATACATGGTATTGTTTTCATAAAAATGGACTTTTGAGTTAAAATTTACCTATTTTCAGTTATCACTACTAATTATTGTGCTTAGTTTCTACTTCTGTTTCTACTCCACTGCTCCCCTGTTAACTTGAATATTTAGAGAATAAACTCTTTAGCACAAGTTTATGTGTTACTGTGTGTTTGCAGTCTCTGGTGCAATATGGATGTGATCTAATAAAGGATTCCTTTGCTACTGAAGTAATTATTACATGAGCTAAAAGAAACAAGGGACCAAGAAATGCACAACTACATCTGCACTTCTTTACCTTTCTCAATTTCGTATGTCTCCATCTCAGGAAATGTGGTTTACATTATGTCTCTCATCATCAGCAACCAGTGTGGCACTTTAATTTAAATAATGCTGTGTGCAGGAATCAAAACTGTCAATTTTGAATCCCAGAAAAATATTTGAAAGTGTCTATCTTTTATTCGTGTTATTTTAAATTAAGAGAAGGAACCAAAGTTTTAAGCTTTCTGCACACAATCACAATGTCTCCCTTCCTCCAAATTTGTGGCATTGTGCATAATATTTAAATCATATATATTTCTTCTCTGAAAGATGCTTTTGAGGTATGAGGTGCCACTTTCCAAAGTATTTATAACCTTTTTATTAACATCTATAAATTCACAATCTTCAGCAAAATCAGTTTGTAGTGACATTCTTTGTCAGCTGAATCTGTTTTGAGACATTTTATGGCAAGTTTTTGTTGCTACTCTGGGATTTTTAAAAAATTCATAGTGTAGATCCTGCATTTTTTGTTTATATTTGTTCCTAAAACATTTCAGATCCTGAAAAACATTCCAGCTCAGCTTCTGAAGATGGAACCTCCTCCAGCAGAGACTTGGAGAACATCTATGGAAATACTACAGATTTCCATGAAAACCTGGAGCTAGAAGACCATGATACAGATGATATTTTTGGGTAGGTTAAACTTACAGTGTTTTAATGATGTTTTAAAATGCTCAATATGCCAAAAATCGTGTCAGAACTGAAATAAAACCAATCTTAACTTTCTAGTTGTTGCTTATTAGAAATGTCAGCATGATCTGTGTTGTACCTTGGTGTCCTAAACCAGTTCTCAGGCAGCTCAGATTAAGAATTAAGGGATTTATTTTGTTGTTGAGAATCCAAACGATAAATTTTGGGATTGTGGGTTTTTTTAATGTATTAGCACTGAGATTTATAAAATAATCTCTTTAAAATCACCCAAATTCTTTAGTTTTAAGGTACTTTGAAAAGAGCAGTTGTGAGCAGATCAACCAATAACCTTTAACTCACCATTATCCGTGATAAACCTGTTATTTTGGACACTGAGGAGATGACTGGAAATAGGGAAGTTCCCCAAAGTTCTGTGTCTTACTGGTTTCTTATATGATTTCAGAACTAGAAGGAGTCAGAGAGACACTGTGAGGTTAATTACACACTGTGGAAATTTAGCTGATTCAGAGATTTGTGACAAAAACTGAGGGCAAAAGTTGAATACAGCAGCTTGTACCCCGTGTGTGCTGGCAAAACCTCCTGCAAAAGCTATTTTTTTGCTTTTTGGTTCTACATATGTGAACATTTGTCACTAAGGCTCAAAGCAGAGCAAGTCGAGGTGCTGAAAATCAACGTACTGTATTTCTTTTAAGGACCTGGGATGAAAGCCAAATGGATGAGGAGGAAATTCTGGAGGATAAACTACAGGTTCTTGCATTACAGTGAACACAGAAAGGACTCAATTCCCTCTCCATCTTTGTGTGTCACACCAAACCAAGAAGCAGAAGAGGTGTTCTGAGTGCTGGTCAAGATATTTTTTACTAAGGATTATCTTGTGAAGTTGTCAGTAAAACTCCTTAAAAATATCTTGCTTTTGTTTTTTTTTTATTAGTCTGAAGAAACAACAGAATAAAAGAAAACTGGTCTTGTGCTTCTTTTTTTTTTTTTTTTCAGGATGTTCTATTCTTTATTTTTTTCATTCAATAAAAGTCTTCTTGCCCACAGATGGAATTTTGTGTCTCCAAATGCAGTTTTATGTTGCCAAGCTGAGAGGTGCCAAACGGGGCTTATTATTAGTGGAGTTTTATGGAAATTATAGTTTTGAAATTACCTTAATGGTGTCTTTTAGCAACTTCTTTAGGATGCTCAGGCACAGCAGCATTCTTAGCTTTAAAGTTCTTTTTCCCTTCATCATGTTCTGTTTGAATATGGCTGACACTTTTTCCTTTTATTAATTTCCTCCAGTCTGGCTTTTAAGGTGATTTTCAAAGCACCTTAAAAACTTCCTCTCGCTCTCTCAGTTTTAATAAAAAAATTGCAGGGACAAGGATTTCTGTCTCGTAGTGTTGGGAAGTGGGGTTCATTTAAAGCTTTTGTCTGACAATTCTTACCCATTTAGGGGTAAATTGCCTAAAATTCATGGTAACTTGTTCACAGACATTTTCACACAGAAAGAGAAGCTTTAAATCTTGCTTTTCTGTGTTCAGAGGTGGCAGGTGCCCTTCACTGACATATCAGTGGAAACATTCCAGTGCATTATTTGGGTTCTGACAGTTAAACACATATTGGTTTGTATTTTACCCACACCACAGGACTCTGATGGGTTGTCTGTGCCCCCCTGCACTGATATGAGACAGCACAGTCATCTTTTCAACAATTTCTTTTACAGGAAAATTTACTTCAGCAGCCCTAATTCACAGAGTGGAGCCATCGGGCTGAACAGACCATTGATTTGATTTCCTGCCTCATTTCTTGTCCTTAAGGTGAGGGCATATTTTCCACCTCAGTTTTCTTTATAGAGTTCACTGTATATTGGTGTTTTATTACTGGAGTTCTGTGCCAGGAATGGGAAGAATGGAATCCCAAGGCAGGGGTTGTACTTTGGAGATTAAGGCCATTGGTTTTCTGTCATGGCTGTAACCTCCTCTTTCTCCTTGAGTCACTCTTCCAAATATTCCTATTACACTCATTTCCCTCACACAGCAGGCTGATGCTTCCATGCTGTTCCCAACCTTTTTAACTGGAAAACCACTGAGGCAGGTGCTGCTGCAGAGTGTTCCTGGAGCCCCCAGCAGGCAGGGGACTCCTTAGGGTTTGTACTTGTCTAAGATAACTAGAAATTCACTGACTGCTTTCAACATCTGATTTGAAAAGTTCTCCCTTCCCATCCCTTTTTCCTGAAAGAAAAAAAAAAATACTTCTGATAATACCTCTACCAAAATTTGGGCTAAAAATAAGCTTCCTTCAATGTATTAGTGATTTAAATATATCTTTGGTTTATATTCCTGGGTTTAACATGCTTGAAGATTTCTTGTGTTGCTTCCCCCCCCCCCCCCACCATAAGTTGTAGTGGTGGAATTGATATCCTAAGTGGAAGACCAGAAATTGCAGTTTTTTGATATGTATTGCTTGTTTTCTGTTGCAAATAGAACAAATCTAATGTTGAAAGCTGCTTATTATTATGAATGTGGCTTAATGTACTTCTCCACATGATCTTTAGGGTCCCTTCCAACCCAAACCACTCTATGGTTTTTGCCTTGTTGCAAATACCATGTTCAAATTGTTATGTTAATTTTTTCTTTTTTTCATTTCCCCCTGTGCCTGTTGTAGGGATGGCTGAGCTATACCCACGTGTCAAGGGATTTGCACAGAAACATTACATTTTCTGTCCATTTAGAGGAAGAGGAAAAAAGGAGGGGAAAAGTGAAAGATAACTTTATATTTTTTTAGCTTCTAGGGTGAGTCTACATTGTCTTTTTGTGTACATTGACTTTTAGTGATCTGATTTTACAAAGTGTAAATCCTGTGACTTATCTTGGCAATCAGTTTGGATTTTGAGAGGGGGTATCCCATTCATTATGTATTGAAGTATTTTGGGATTCATGTGAACACACCTCATCTTGAAGTGTCTGGCAGATCTACAGTTTGTCTCTTTTTTGTTTTGCCTTTTTCAATGTGACCATTTTCTGCTCTCAGTGTGTTATACGTTCATACAAAAGGGAAGAACCCAAATTCCTCATGATTCCAAGAGCTGGAAATCCCAGGCTTTTCTTCCCATCATCTTCCTGAAGGTGTTTGAGTGCATTTGAGGGAGTTCCTGGTGGAGCTGCAGCACATGCCCCTGTCCAGGGTGCTGGGCTGGGATTTGTGCCTGTGCCGTTGTTTCAGCTCAAACAGCCACGTTTCCATGCCCATCAAAGAGCAAATTTGCACTGTAAAAATCCATGTGCCTTGTGCTCAAAATACAAACAAACTTACCAGCTGGGAACTCCACTTGAACACTTACTTCTAAAGTGCTTCCCTGGGAGTCCTTGGAATATTTTAATGAGCTGCAATTTGTCTGGCTGCCTGATCCTGTCTGACTTGGTTATTTTTTTATGTGGAAGGGTCACTTATCCAAGCAGCCAAGGCAGATAAACCACATGAAGTCATATCTGCAGTTGTCTGTGCACACAAGGGGCTGCTGAGGTTGGACAGTGAGAACTGAGGCAGAAAAAAATTCAGATTTTCCTGTTTCATTTCAACCAGTTCTGGCAAGAATTGAATCCCACTGAAAACACTGTTCATGGCTCTGCTTGTACTGGAGTTCTAAAGGTCCCTGGTACACACTCCAAGGCTCTTCCTCCCTCTGTGTTACTGTTTGATTTTACCCTTTAATAGACTTTAAGATTCTGTCATTTGCTGCACCTCATTTATAAAAATTAAGAGTTATTCTTTCCTCCATCATAATACAGCTTACATGCATCTCATTCAATTATCAGAACCACATAAACCCAATTAGTTTTAATTTATCCAGGCCATTTGCATCAGAGACAAAGACATCTGTCTTTTTCATTTGAAAAATGAATTCTGCAAATTACAGGCCATCAGCACAAGGGCATTTCGAAATTATTTTGGTCAAGAGAAGTGTTCCATGACTTTCTATTTAATTAGGATTAATTAGGCTGTTTAATAGGCCTGTGCTTTTGGTAAGGGATGGAAACATAATCAACTCTGTTAATATTAGAGATCAGTTCACAAGCACAAGAAATGGAAGCCTCACAAAAAGCCCCAAACTGGTTTTCCATACACTGGGGGATGTAAAGACCCACATAATTAATAAAAACAACCCCTATTACTGATTTCAGTAAAACAGAAATTTTTGGATTTCAAATGCTGACTTCCAAAGGAATGAATAGAGATGCCAAGGAACAAATATTCAGCAGAATGAAGTGTGAAGCCTTGGTAGGTTAGAATTAGGTTCTGACTACCAGTTTAACTAAAAAGTCTGGGGAAAAAAACCCCCAAACCTAACAAAAACACCTCAGCAAATCCTTCAGGAATTGGCCCAGTGTCTATATAAAATATTTCTCTGAACACAGTAAAACAAAAAATTACCCAGTTAATGTGTTGAAGAACACAAACATTACTTTTAGTTGCCTGTTTTTCTTGTAGCAGTGTCTCAGTTATGGTGCTTCTACTTTTTTTCTAAAAATTGTTTTGCAAGATGAAATAATAAAACTCCAATTTATTTTGTTTTCCTCTTTCTGGCGTGGATCTTCCCTGTGTTAAATTCACTATATATTTGATGATTCCTGGCTAGAGGAACTCCCTTAGGAGAGACCTTCAGTGATTTTTAGCTGTAGCAAGTTTTTCTGTACCATAAAATAAAGGCAGCAGGAACAGAACTCTTAAATAAGAAGTTGCATAAAGATGTAAAGGTCATCCTTGTGAATTGGGAATTATGCTTGGATCTACTTAAGGTTCTGTTTACAACCTTAAATGACTGCAAACTGGGCAATCCATTGTGTAGGAGGGTAAAGAAACAGAGCAATAAAAACTCTCAATATTCCTTGCTGGCCCATGAAGGACGTGCCAGCATTGCTTCCAACCTTTGTTGGACAGTTGTTCTTCCTAGAAAACTAAACCAGAGGGCCTGGAAGGGAATATTCCCTCTGTCCTCCCGTGTCCCTGTGAGCTGGAGGTGGCACAGATTCCCTGTTCAGGCTCCCAGAGCTCCTCTGGGATCGTGTCTGAGCTGTCAATGAACACAGTGGCCCACGATGTGCACACAAACTGCTCCCACCAATGCTGCTTCTGCACCAGAGGTTACTCCTGACAATTATTTCTGACAAATAACTTTATTCTTTTATGGTAAGTTTGCATTGTTTGTAGAGGGAAAGCCTGAAGAAAAGTTAATGGAATGTATCTCAGTTTGAAAAATGTGAATATGTTTCTTCAAGTACTGTGAAGTATCTTGGAGTAGTCATGCTCAGTTGCATCATTTTTGTCTGGCTAGTGTAGCTTGCCAAATATATACAGACTTTCTCCACTTCTATATTTAATTTTCCTATTTACTGTATTACATTAGAGATACTATTAAGTTATCAATAGAGCCATCATATGCTGCTTAAAACACAGCTGCTATTTGCATTTAGCTGTTAGTGCTGCAAAAACAGCTTTTATGATCACAATTAGGACACAAACTGCACAACAGGAAGAGTTTTTCAAAAAAAATCCCAGAAACTTTGGAGGCAGAGAGGTACCATATGAACTGTCCTTTTTAATTGCAATCATTAAACTTTCCCAGGTTATTTCTCTCTTGGCCAACCTGTTAACCAAGGTTAAAGCCTTTCAGCTCCACAATGTTCCTTGAAGGTGAGGTGGCCTGTGCTTCTGAAACGTTGGACCTCAGAATCAGGTGAGAAAGGAGTTAGAGAACAGTTGTGACAACAGTTCTTAGAACAGAAAGAGCTTCAGTTACAGATACAACCCCTCCTCTCCTGCCCAACCCTCCCTGTTTTTTCTCACTGTCAGAGTTTTGCATTTTTAAAGGTGACTTTGAGTGCTTGTGTCCATTTAAAAGATGACAAGTTGCTTTTGTTGTAGTGTTTTTTTGGTTTTTTTTTTGGAGAAGGTCAAA